AAAGGACCACTATAGTGCCAGGAAAACATACTCGTTTTCCTGGCACTATAGTGCCCTGAGGGTGTCCCCACCCTTAGGGTCCCCCTCCCACCTGGCTCTGGAAAGGGGAAAGGGGTTAAAACTTACCTTTTTCCAGCGCTGGGCGGGGAGCTCTCCTCCTCCGATCCTCCTCTTCTCCTCCCCGTCGGCTGAGCTGCGCGCATTCAGCCGGTCACATAGGAAAGCATTCATAATGCTTTCCTATGGACGCTTGCGTGCTCTCACTGTGAAAATCACAGTGAGAAGCACGCAAGCGCCTCTAGCGGCTGTCAATGAGACAGCCACTAGAGGAAATAGGGGAAGGCTTAACCCATTCATAAACATAGCAGTTTCTCTGAAACTGCTATGTTTATGAAAAAAATGGGTTAACCCTAGCTGGACCTGGCACCCAGACCACTTCATTAAGCTGAAGTGGTCTGGGTGCCTAGAGTGGTCCTTTAATACCATTGGGGATCCAGTATCTCCCACCAAGACGGAAGGTCCAGATACGATCATTCAGTTTTTGGGGATACAACTGGACTCCATAACTATGGAAGCCAGCCTCCCTAGAGATAAGATTGTCAACATCACTCAGACCATTCAGCAGTACTTGCGCATAGGCTCATGCAATAGGAAAGAGCTTCAGTCACTGATTGGCTCGCTAAATTTTGCCATCCGTATTATACCCCAAGGAAGAGCATTCATTTCCAGACTCCTGTGCCTTCTTCCGACACTAACTGACGAACACAAACGTACCACTCTTGATTTGCAAGCCACAGCAGACTTGCACATGTGGAACGTGTTCCTGTCAAACTGGAATGGCAGGAGCATGTTCCTCCCCCAAGTCACAGAGGATTCCCCTACCATTTGGACTGACGCAGCAGCCTCCACAGGTTTTGCAGCTATTTTTGGGGACAACTGGCTATGGGGTAGATGGCCGGAAGAAGTTAAGCAAATAGAAGGCTTTTTTAGGAATTCTGCACTCTTTGAAGTGTACCCCATAGTAGCAGCAGCAGTCACATGGGGACAGTCTTGGGCAGGTAGACCAGTTCGATGTTTTTCTGATAACTTGGCAATTTGCCACGTCATAAACAAAGGCCGGTCTACCTCTCTAACCATCATAAGTTTTATCAAACGTCTTACGTGGTTGGCGGCCTGTCATCAGTTTCATCTAGTATGTTACCATGTACCGGGCATCTATAATACAGCCGCTGACCAGCTGTCCCGCTTTCAGTTTCAGGCATTCAGGGAGTCTCTACCAACAGCGTCACCGGTAGCCACGATCGCTCCCCAACTCCAGGATCTAATCATGGACTAGAGGAATTATTACAACAAAGCAAGATCCTACAAAACTCGCTCTCGCAAAAAACACACATAGCGCATACGATAGAGCTTACTACCTATACAAGAAATTCATGGCAGACCATAATCTCACGAATTGGTTTGACAATGTAACGTTGGTGGCTTTTGCCACGTTTTGCCACATTAAGTTAAAAATGTTGCATAATACCACTAAACTATACCTCACGGGTATCCAACATCATATGTTCATAGAACATCCTAACAACCAAGGGTTTCTCACCTCCTACCTCATTAAAACCCTCCTTAGGGGTATGCTCAAATCGCAAGGACCTACACTGCAACGTAGGTGGCCTATAGACATTCAACTGTTTAAACGTTTGTCAAACCTACTAGA